GAAAAATAAGGATTTGAGGAATTATTAATATTATTTTTCGAATTTTGAGGGTGTGGGTGTGGGTGTCGGGTGGGGTGTGGGTGTGGGTGTGGGTGTAGGTGTGGGTGTGGGTATGTGAATAAAGAGGAGACAACATCCACACCCACATCGAATCTTGGACTCATAACAAATCAGAGTGACGTCCTCTTTATTATGAATTCTGTTCAAAATTTTAGAAGAATTCTCTAAAATAATGAAATATTTTTCGATGGAGAGAAATAATACTGAAAGCAATTGTTCAGTTGTGATTTGAAAACACTCTACATTTAAATGGAACGAAAAATGTGTATATGTCTAAGTTATTAAATAGTTCCGCTCAAAAAAGAAACTTCAGTTGAAAAGGGATCTCTCTGAATAATAATCGCAGTAATCAGACTAGAATAAATCAAATGTTTCAGACTCTCTTAAATATTTTACCGTTATGATGAAGTTGCTGATTAAACAAATGTTAGAATAGTTTAAGATCTTTTCAAAAAGCTTCTAATCAATTGTTTATGATAGGAAATTTGCCATGATGAAATTTTTAAGAACAAAAAAAAAATATTTTCTTGTCATTATGTATATTCGATACAACAATTGGGAATAGTATTTGACATCTCTATTATGACCTTACCATTTAAGATGAGTTTAGTAGAAAGAATGATATTGGTTTTATAGATTGCTTGTTGATCCGCTATGTGATTCACATATCACTAAAAAGAAGTGATTGTTTTTTTTTTACGGATAAAAATACAGTTACATTTCCTCTCATGACTTTAAAAGTCTACATAAAACAAGCGGACTCGCCATCATACGTATTACTTTTGTTTATCATCTTTCCTTTTTCTCTCTAGCTTGTTTTGCTTGTCGTGTATTTCGTGGGTTTTGAGCAGTCTTTAAATCTTCAACACATTTCAAAGAGGTCAAGTTTATTTAACTTAAGTAAATAACATTCTTTTTGTCCTAAAAAGTCATAGGATCCTGATTCGATCAGACAAAAAATATTCTCTCAACAGAAAACGCTAGTATAGTCAATAGATTCTCCATCTTCCTTTAAAGATGATATGTTGTTTTCGAGTTTCTCAAACTTCTTAACTATTTGAAATAGTACACTGTTTTAAAATTGTCTACATTATCTAAAGAATCGATAGCTATTCAAAATATATCTCTAAGTTATTTATTCATTGAAAGAGTTGATTCGTTTCTAATAGAATTTTGTATTTTTTTGTTTTGTGACAGACTATTTAGATTTTATATCTGTCTTTTTCCTGAAAAGATATCAAATTTATTAAATAACTATGATAGTTTTTTTAATAATCTTAGAGGAAAAAGATCACAATATGAGTATGCTTATATGAAGAGCATATTTTCTATGAACGAGTCTTTTTTTATCTACTGAAAGCATCAAGAAAATGCTATGACGTGATAAATAGTTTATCTAAAGTTAGATATTATGTGAAAATGAAGTTTAATGGGTTTCAACAGCTTTTCATCTGTCTGGGAAAAAGCAATCTACAGTTTTTTACCCTTCATAAGTTTGACACCGTAATCGATTCGACCGAAGATGCGACAGGAAAAAATCGTCCAGATTTAAAAAGTACCTTTTGAAACATTTTTTATTGCTTAGCAGAATAGCTGCTTCTTTTTTTCTTCCATACTATTCGCTCTTCGAGAAAGAAAGAAAAGTGGTTAGTTAGATTAGGCTCAATGAGAATTATATTTTTCTTTTCTTTTTTCAATTAGCATTTCTATAATAAAAAAAAAGAGGAAGATGTACGATAGCAACCTTTTGCTCAATGAGTTTCTTACTTTTCATGATGATTAATATAAAAAATAGAAATATTTGTAGTATTGCTTGAAAAAAGTCACGACGAAGTCTTATTAATAGAGTCATTCTCACTTTCTTCACTACGGAAGGTATAATATTCTTGTAAACGAGTAGAAAAATATGCGATACTTTCATGCAATGAATATAGATAATCAAACGAATAAAACTTTGTTAACATCTCAAGATTCATGAACTGAAATCAGTTTAATACAACGCATTTGTACCTTGTTACTATTAATTACATTTGCTATACCATCATTAGCTTGTTTTCTTATTATCTTTTATTATTTTATTTGACTACGCAAAATATTGCTTTTTGACCGTATCTATCATCATGTTATTTCATGTTTATTGATCAGTGATTTCTGTTAATTTCAACTGAATTACCTTTTGCGTTATACTATCTTTCGTTGTAACATCTGCAAGCAACTCAAGTATGCCTATTTTGGATATTTTGGGATTATGTTCTTCAGGTATCATCTTTATTTTTAACAGTGCATGTATCAATTGAACGTTATCTATTGGTATTCCATAAGGATTACGTTATGAAACATAAATTATTGTTTCATCATATTCCATTAGGATTCGTTTGCTTTTATACTTTTGGCATACACATATACTTTATTCTATTGTTTCCATGCGAAGCAAATCATGAGTACAACTTAACGAAATTTGTATGCGGTGGACCCTGCTATCTTAATATTTTTATTCAAAATGTATGATACAATTGTTCATACAATGATACCACCTTGTGTTCTATTCATTTTCAATATATTAGTGATTGGTAGTGCTGCTAGACAAAAACATAAAGTATCACCATCAATATCGGTATCGAATACACTGAAAAAAAATCGACGAATGATTTTACAATTATTAGCTATAAGTTTAATGTCTTTCATTACTTGGACACATTGGGTTGTTGTAATTTTAGTACACAATTTTTATGATCCATCATTTGCTGAACAGTTCATTACCATAGCTGTTCATTATCTGTTATATTTTACAAGTTTTGGATCACCATTTGTAGCACTGATAGGACTCTCTGAGATTCGTAAAGAATTTAAAAAGTTAGTCAGAGAACTAAGAACTACTCTACACGTAATCGGTATCACTAAGGTACGAAAAGCCAGCAATATGAACACTGCTAATGGTCAGCGACTCGTTGATTGAACGTTACTATTATAAATCATTTGGCATGATTCCATAAGTATCTATAAAACAAAAGCACATGGTTATAGTTTTATATTTCATATATGTTCTGGACATTTATCTGTTTTTCTTCTTTGACTCAATGTAAGTTATATATATTAACATTAGAAAATTCAAAACTCTGGCTTGTTTTTATTACTGCAGGAAATGTAAATATTGCTAATGAATAACATGATGAACTACAGTAGTGCACTTAATCATTTGTTAAGGTGTGGATGTATGGTTGTGAGAATTGCATTCCTCAATACTCATGTTAACCCTATAAGTTTTGAGACTTCGAAAATAAACGAACTTTCTGTCAAAGTTTGAGTCCCTCTTCCATTTCTGAAATCAGTCGACAACCTTACACTTGAACTATCAGAACAAGCTCGAAGTGCTTACGATACGTGAAGGAATCACGTCATCTAAAGAATTCATCGATCTCGATTTTTCAGAGTGCATATGAACAATAAACAACGAACGAACAAATAGAACAATTTATATGTCATCGGAACACTTATACACACTATTATGCTCCAAAAGTAGAATGATTCAATATGGATCAATTTAACAGATAAATAAAAAGAAGAAAAGGAGGGTGTGAGTGTGAATAAAAAAAAGACTCATACTCAAGACATTCAAATTCTTGTAGTCCATGGGCTCTGGAATGTAAACCACGTAGAAATGAAAAACTTTAGTAAAAGAAGCAGTTTACTTTGGAAAGAACTAAAAAGTGGGTAAGTATTATATCTATGGAGACATCAAGTTTATTTCAGGGTATGGATGGGTCTGGCTGTCACTGTGAGTTCAATTCTTAGTTTAACACCAACACGTATCCACACCCACTCTTTGTTTGAGGCAAATGCGACTTTGGTTATAATGAAAAAAAACTTGAAAAGAAATACAGAAAAATAGTTAAAAGAGACTTCAAAATATTTTCTAAATAGTGTATATGTATATTTAACTGGATGAGAAATTTTACAATGACTACACGAATGGTCAATTAGAGCATGTCTTAAACTTATAAAAACAAATGCATCTTCAACAGAATTTCTATTTGCTTTTTGGAGAACAAACACTATTAATGTAATGCTTTTTAATAAGCCCAATGGGGGAGGGTGTGGGTGTGGATCAAACGAAGAACTACACCCACACCCTAGTTTGTATTTTCTATACCCCAGCATCGGACAAACGACAAAAAAGAAAAAAGTTCAAAAAACAGTGCTTTATTCAGAAAAACATCTGAATTCGAATCGACTGTCTTCTTTTTTCAATTGTTCTTCATGAATGGAGTGAATAGTAGTCGTATCCATCCTCAATTGCTCAAGTGTCTATACAACAAAAAATGCAAATATCTGATTATTTTCATAGAAAGAGAACTACAACAACACTTACCGTGTTCTGTCGGAGAGCGTTCCTCAGTTGTGTTACTCCTTGATCTTGCATTCCACTATCTCTGATGTCGAGAATAGTGAGTGTCTGTATGAAAACAACAGATATGAAGAAAGAGATCAATGCGTAGAGAATAGCGTTCACCGTGTTGTTTCTGAGAGCTTTTGCTACATGTTCGGTCCCTTGATCTCCGATCCGATTGTGTCCAAATTTGAATATAATGAGCCTCTGAAGAAAGAATTTAGATGATCGGAAGAGCATATAGAATTATGTTTACCGTGTTCTTTGAAAGAGCTTCGGCGAGATATTTTGTCCCATCCTGCCCAATTGCATTCCATCCAAGATCAAGTGTGGTGAGTGTCTATATTAAAAGTATAAATGATAAAGATGCAGATAAATAGCGAATAGTATTCACCATATTGCTTCTGAGAGCTTTGGCAACATGTTCTGCACCATGATCTCCGATTTCATTACGATAAAGATTGAGGGTTGTGAGTGTCTGAAAGAGGCATGCAGATGTTCAAAAGAGATATTACTGCAAAAGAATATTTACCGTGTTCTTTATGAGAGCACTGGCAAGATGCATTACCCCTTGCTCTCGGATTTGATTGTCTTGAAGGTTCAGCGTAGTAATTCCCTGAATCAAAAGCAAAGATAATTTTGAGAGTGATGAGCAGGACACGGTATGTACTTTGTTGTTTGTAAGAGCATTAGCAAAATATTCTGCTCCTTGGTGTCCGATTTGGTTGTGTCGGAGATTGAGTGTGGTGAGAGTCTGAGGAAAAAATGTAGATGTTCAAGAAAGAGACGAGTCAATAATGAATGTTTACCATATTTTGTGTGAGAGCGTCGGCGAGATGCTGTGCTCCTTTATTTCCGATTGTATTGTATTCAAGGTTCAGTGTTTTGAGTGCCTGCACTAAAAGTGTAGATGATCTAAAGAGAGATGAAAATAAAATAGCGTTCACCGTCCTATCTCTGAGAGCATTAGCAAGATATTCTGTTCCTTGGTCTCCGATTCTATTGTGTGGAAGATCTAGTATGGTAAGTGTCTGATTGAAATACTTCACATAGTCGAGAAATTGACGAGTAGAACATATGTTTACTATATTATTTTTCAGAGCGTCGACGAGATATTGTATCGCAGTGGGTCCTATTCGACTGTCTTGAAGGCCGAGACTGGTAAGTGTCTGAGAAGAAAGAATAAAACATTAAGGGAGAGAGGAAGGCGACTAGATCATGGTATTCACCATGTTATTTTTGAGGGTACAGGCGAAATGTTGTACTCGAGATTGTTTCATTCGATTGAATTCCAGATAGACTGTGGTAAGTGCCTATGCGAAAAATTCTAATTATTAAGAGAAATCTGAATGCAGATTGATATTTACGGTGTTCTTTGTGAGAGCATTAGTAAGATGTTCTGCACCTTGGTCTTCAATCGTGTTGCGATAAAGTTTGAGTGTTGTAAGTGCCTAAGTGAAACATTCATATGATCAAGAGAGGTATGAGTAGAAGATGATTTTAACTTGGTTTTTTGTAAGAGCACTGGCGAGATACTGTGCCCCTTGGTCTCCGATCAGATTATCACTAAGATCGAGTATCATAAGCGTCTGAATGACAAGTTTATCTGGTCAAGAAAGAGATGAGTAGAAAATGATGCTTACCGTGTTATTAACCAGAAAATTCGAGAGATATTGTGCTCCTTGCTCCCTAATTCCATTGCATCTAAGGTTGAGCATAGTAATCGTCTACATGAAAAGAGCAGATGGTCAAGAGAGAAATAAGATGAGAATGGTATCGACCGTGTTGTTTATGAGAGCTTTGACAAGATGTTGTACCCCTTGATCTCCTATAAGATTATCTCTAAGGTAGAGTGAAGTGAGTGTCTATGTGAGATATCTTACTATTAAGATATATATGAGCAGACAATGATGCTTACCGTATTGTTTATGAGAGCCTTGGTGAGATATTTTGTTCCTTGCTCTCCAATTCCATTGCATGCAAGGTTGATTGTTATGAGTGCCTGGGTGTAATATGAAGATGGTCAATAGAGAGATAAGTCGAGAATGGAATCTACCGTATTGTTTATGAGAGCATTGGCAAGATATTCTACACCTTGATCTCCAATTGCATTGTATGGGAGGTTTAATGTAATCAGTGTCTGTGTGACAAATGACGGATGGTTACAAGAAACATGAATAGAGAACAACATTCACCATGTTGTTTGTTAGTGCATTGGCGATATGTTGCGCTCCAGCTGGTCCGATTTGATTTCTGTCAAGATCGAGTGTCGTAAGTGTCTTTATGAAAAGTACAGAGGATGAAGATCGAGACTAATAGAGAATGCTCTGCACCGTGTTTCTTGTAAGAACGTTGAACAGATGTTTTGTTCCTAGATCTCCTATTCGATTGTTTCTAAGGTCAAGTCTAGTTAATGTCTACGTGTAAATGTGGATAAAATCAATGCTTGAAAGAAATTATGATACTTTGTGATAAGATTGATTATGATTTACTATACCTCCTGTTTTATAGGATCGACTTCCGTATCGCACCACCGTTGAGCCAATCGAAGACCAACATCTGTTGTTGACACTATGAAGCTGATAGACCCAGGAACCATTTTCAGATTAATTCGAGGAGTATATAGCCAGACCGACTCTCCCATCGGTATATAAGCACAGATAACGTTCCAGTGTTTCTCTTGAATCCAGAATACTGTTTGAAATGTAGAAATTAATGTACTTAGAGTAATTTGATTGTCACCTATAACAGAGATGGTGAATAAGAATTCAAATTCAGTCAATGAGGATAGTCTATTCGAAATAAGCCGCTCCCAGTAGTAACCGTTGAAGGTAAATTCGAAGTCTTGTGCCGTTTGACTAATTAATTTTAAATGGAGAAGATTAGGTGTTGCTGAAAGGATTAATTCTAGTTGCTGAGCAGAAAGAGTATAGCCGGTTATTATTAGTGATTTTAATTGTATATGGAGTGTAATATTTGATTTGAAAAGCACCGTTTCACTACAACTGTCGAAAGTACAGTCATGCATTTGAAATATTTGTAAATGCGGTAAATGATATAGTATGGTAATGAAATCACTGTATTTACAGCAACCAATTTCTAAGTGTTTCAACTTGTATTCGCCTTGCCATGTGATACCATGAGGACTGCAGTTCAATCGTAATTGTCGAAGTTGATATTTATTAAGTGCAAAGGAAATGAGAGGTAAAGCTTTTGGAAACTCGTCGGATCTCAAATCGATTGAAAGTGAAGTGAGTGAATGCGACGCCATTTGTTGTAAAAAGTACTCTAGTCTTTTAGCACTTATAGAAATAAAAGTCATTGAGCGAAGTCGACTGAACTGGCTAAGGTTAAAAAATTGCTGGAATAAATCAATTCGAATATCAGTTATATTGATCAAATTTACTACTCTCTCCGGATGCATAAAGTGATAAATGGCGTGAAAATCGAAATGTGAATTTGAATGGAAGTCCAGTTCCCATCGATCATAAGAATTAAAGCAAAAGTATAGATGCTTACAAACCAGACGAATTGAGTTAACTAATTGTTGAATATTACAATAATCAAAA